GCTGCGTTTCCGACGATTTCGGAGGTTGATTCGTGTGGCAGCTGGCGTCAGCGGACCTGCGTCGGCACCTGCATGAACAGCCTCGACGTCGTCACTGTGTGTAGTTGACGTCGGCGGACCTGCGTCAACAGTTACGCGAAGATTTCGGGAAGATCTTCGGCAGTTGGCGACAAAGGGCCTGCGTCAGTAAGGGCGACATTTTCGGAGCTTCTGGAGGAAGAAAAAGTCGGCTGGGGAACTCGCCAGGCGCAAATGGAGTTTGTCCAGTCCGCTAATCAACTGGGTTAGAAGGGCATGTTTCATTGGTGGGTCAGCGTATCCATACCCCCCCAAGACGACACATGTAGCCCTTGGAGAGACCACTTGAGGCCATTCCAGTGTCCACCTCCAACACTCCCCTCACTGGGAGGTCCCACCACTAGGGCAGAGGAAATCTGCCGACAACAGGAATCGAACCCGGGTTTCTACCCCACTTCTCCACATGTCCAGTCCGCCAACCAACTGGGCTAAAAGGGCATGTTTCATTGGTGGGTCAGCGCACCCATACCCCCCCAGGACGACACCTGTAGCCCTTGGGGAGACCAATTTGGGCCATTCCAGTGTCCACTTCCAGCAGAGTTTTGCGTCCGAAAATGTCGGTGGACGAGGAGAGACGACACGCGAGTTGCCCGAATAATGCGAGGTCAACTGTCGTCCCGCCCGACCTGAAGTGCAGGAGCTTTTACTGCATGGCGGGCGGGTCATCGAGTATTTCGGCAGGAGTGCACGTGGATAGACGGGAACTTCATACCCGCCGACACTTACGGGTTGCAATGGAAAACGGAGTGGCTAAATCGCACTCAGGAGGAGTGGGACGCAGGCGGCGAGGGCAATTCGGGCCCATACACCCCGCAGAATTCTCGCATGACGCTGCGTGCCTGGTACTGTTGACACCTGGCCGACAATTTCGAGAGTGGATTCCCTATAAGGAAGTCATTTTCGGGGACAGCCTCAACAGCCCACGATTAAAGCTCAAGGCCCAAATTGCACAACAATAGTAATCTTGATGGGGGGGGATGAGCTTGGCGAGAGACTTCCAAGGGGAAGGGTGTTGGAAGTGGGGTACCGCATGAGCGAAATTGGCGATTTTGGGGGTGGCGAAAGCTTGTTGTCCGCAGCTGAATGATACCCAATCACAGTGAAGAACCAGTTTGTGGTAAAAAACATAACACAAGTTTGGCGTACCAACCACCACACTTCGGACACAACCCTAGGTACGCCTTGTACACAAACCAATTCGACACACCACTCCCACACCCACCTGCTGAATAAAAAAAGCGGAGAAAACGCTATTATCATGCCGCATTCAACTCGCCGATAACAGACAAGCACCCAGAACATCTAGGTCTTAGAGGACAGAGTACATAAGCATTTGCCAGGGTTGAAAAGGGTAGCTAATGCGCAACTTGCGCCATAAACGCAGGTCCCATCGAACAAAGCGCGCCCCACGTAGTATATGGCAGAGCGCACCCGTGCGCCTCTCAGCTGAAACTCCCGCACGGTTGCATTGCTCTTGATAGGAGTGAGTGGTCAAAGGCCTGATTAGTAATCTTGCTTGGAGTGAGTGGTCTAGGTGTGTTGCCCCTTCTCCCGGGCTTTCCTCGGTGATTGAACTTCAAAAGTCCCAAATTGCGGGGCTGTGGGCGTCAAGGTGAGTATTCGGAGTCTGCCTGGTGTTAGGACCAGGGCTGCAGAGTTTCGCACGGATCCACCCAACCAATCGCGACGATTGTGGACAACTGTTGGGGTCGCTCGAACTTCCGTGTCAATGAATCGGGTAACACACTTCCGAGGCCATCAAGATTACTAATCTTGATGGCCGCGGCTTGCAATTTGGGCCTTGAGCTTTAAACGGCGTTCAAAGTACTGCCCCGACATTTACGGAGGAGTTGGTACAGGCCGCCGGGACACACGGGAAGAAACTGCCTGACGGCTAAGCGGGGGTTGAAGAACGGCGTGAAGGGCAGGTTCCGGTGTGAACGATCGGTGACCTTCCGTCGCCCGAACCTCACCATCCCCACCAAGTCTTAGTTCTGACTCATGCAGTCAACTTACTTGGCCGAATAACGGGGGTGAACACGGACCTACCCTGCGCTAGTTAAGGGCACCCAGGTTGGTGCTCGTTCAACAGCTGTACAAAAAAGAAAAAAAGAAAAAATGGGGAGTTGCGGCACTGTTCCACTCCGACAAAAGAAGGCTGGGTGAAACAGCACGCGAAAAAATCGGGGCCGCCGCAAGGACAGCATTGGTGCAGTTCGCTGGTTTCTCCTGACCCGGGCGTCTACACGAGGTGACGGCGCAGCGGCGAAGCTGGGACTGGGAGCTGTGGTGTTTTAGCGGCGCGAAGGTTGCGGTGGGTTGCAAAACGGTTGGGCGACAGTCCCTTTTAAGTAAGGGTCCCCGACTCCGATAGTCTTTGCCCCTCCACCGTAGCCGGGATCGCGCGGGCAACACCGACTATACTCCATCCGACAAAAGCAGACGCTGGGTGAACGGCGGGAAGCAAAATTGTCGGGGTGTGAAACGACAAAAAAATCATGAAGCTGCGGGTATTTTTTCGCTTCTTGGAGTGCGGTTGAGTCGTTAGGGGACTTCGCCTGAAGGGCACCTTTCGAAGTTGCCTGGCAAGAAACACAGCGGCAAGGAGACCTAGGACCCCTGGTGTTTAAACGCATACCTCAGGAAATTCTTCAGAAAAAAGGGTGCGTGGGAGCAGTCGTAGCTTCGGGAACTTATCGACTGGTGACTAGCGATGCGGTGAAACATCTGCAAAGCGCCGGTGGGAGAAACGTGGTATTTTGTTAAGCAATATCGGCGGGAGCAGTTTCGACGACGGAGTCAACGGCGTTGATGCCACTAGGTTCCGTGAAATTCGGTCTCGGAAGACCCAGGGCAGTCCCCGGTTCTCGATTGAACCCACATGCTGGGGTCGGGTAACCGACAGAAACTGATGGTGACCAAGGTGGGCGTCTATAGCACGTCCGAGATTTTCGGAGGCGAACTGCAACTCCAACTGCGGATTTACGGGGCTGTGTTTCGACCGACAATTTCAAAGTTTTACATGGGACTTACAGGTTTTTACGGCGAGAGACGCCGACATTTACGGAGGAGCACTTGGCGTTTGGTTAAATGCGCGCGACACCGTCTCGAGGCAACACCGCGAGATTTACACGGACTTTCAAGGGGTACAAACGACTTACGACGAACTGAAGAAGGTGGCATCAACAGTGAAGAGGGGGGAGAGACAGCTGCAATTTTTCATCTCTGCCCAAGAGCCCTCGGCGCATTGCGACAAACTTCTCGGCCAGTCTGGACAAAGCCGCCGAATGTGCTGACATCATCTGATACTGGATCGGTTCGACAAAATTTTCGGAATGACCTTCGCCAATGGTTACTGCATCGTCGACCTTCGCCGGGTCTCATTTTTGACTTCGCCATCAATCATATTCACCGCCGACAATTTCGTACCACCCCTAATTTCACGGCCAGAGGATTTCAGGACGGTTCCATTCCGACTGCACTAACGACAAGCCTATCCACTCGACCCGCCCACGACAACTGCATTGATTTCAACCACGTCAGGTGCTGCCAGCTGCACCTGCTGAAGATATTGCATGATTCTGGTTCAGTTCGAGCAACGCATATTTTCCGTCGCGGTTTCTGGTCTACTTCAGCTGGTTCGCCCTTGAAGAAATTTTGGGCACGTAACACCCGGTTTCGTCATCAAAATCCACACCGACGCAATCTCATCTGGTTTTCTACGCTCGACGCTCTTCTTCGTGGGACTTAACACCTGGAGTTTTTGTTGGTTTTCATCTCGGCGCAGCCGTGAAACATTTTCAGGTGTGCTTTCTTGGAGGGGGGGGAGAAAGTGCTCGGCACTGTTTCTTTCCTCTGCGCTTTCTTCTGTACTGTTCTGACTTTGTCAGAAAGCGTCAGCACGACGAACGATCGCGATTACACCGACAGGATCTACGGTCCCTGCTCAGTCGCGTTTGAATTCGCGTCAGCATGTTTCCTCTCTTCTTGCGTCAGCTTTCGACCGTCAGCTTAAAGCAAGGGTGCACATTCCTGGGGGTGGGTTTTGGGGGCATTGTCATTGTACACCCTCCGACGCAGGCTGATTCGCTGGCGAACTGTTCAGGGTACGTAAAGCTGGAGCGGGGGATTCAAACAAGGCTGACGACGCCAATCTGTTTCGCTCAACACTTGGGTTGGATAGAGAGCAGGGGGACAGTGCGGAAACGTGGCCAAAGGGGCACAAACAACCTAGCGCGCACTACAGTGTTCCCGTCAATCTGACAAAGCAGGGCGGGGCCGTGTCAGAGGCAGGGCGGGGCCGCGTCAGCGGCAGGGCGGGCCGCGACAGCGACCTGGCGGGGCGGCGCTCTGGCCTGACGGGCCTACAGGGGCGGCTCGCGGCCCTGACGGGCCTGCAGGGGCGGCTCGTGGGCCTGACGGGCCTGCAGGGGCGGCTAGTGGGCCTTACGAGCCTGCAGGGGCGGCGTGCGGGCCTTACGGGCCTGCAGGGTCGGCGCGCTGGCCTAGGGCAGCAGGAGGCAGCGTGAGGGCTGCAGGACGGCGCGCGCAGCGCAGCACGTCACAAGGCAAGGCAGGCAGGCGCAGGACAACACGTGGGGTAGCGCGGTAACCGCAACGGTAGGTGGGCCCGAAAAAAAAGACGGTCCTATGGACCTAGTGCTCTGAAACTATGTTAGAATCTAGCAGCAGGAATGGATGCACTATGGAAGAGTTGGGTACAAGTATGAAACCCTAAACGGGGCTGTACCCCATATTGGCTACCCCACTACAGCCTACACACATATAACATGTATATACTTTGACAAGTGCAACAATCAAGTCACAACTAACATAAATATTCAATGTTATGTCTCTTCCCACTCTTGTCTGCATATACAGCACCAAGAAGCCAGGACTTGTGGTTCCCTCCCTCCCTACACCTAGTGCTGGGCACATGTACATTGCATGGGGGGTAACGGGTTGAGTGAAGGAGGAAACACAGTAAGCAGGGGCTGATAAGGGGTGTGAGCAGGGGGAAACAGAATGAGCAGGGGAAAAAACAGAGTGCGAAGGAGACAGAGAGCAGAGGGAAAGAGATTGAGCAGGGGGAAAGAGAGTGAGCAACGGGGAAAGAAAGTAGGCATGGGGAATGAGACTGAGCATGTTGAAAGGGAGTGAGCAGGGAGGAAGAGGGGGGCATGGGGAAAGGGAGTGAACAGGGGGGGAACACAGTGAACAGGGGGGGAAGAGAGTGAGCACGGGGAAACATAATGGAAACAGAATGAGCAAAGGGGAAACCGAGTGAGCAAGGGGGAAACAGAGTGAGGATGGGGGAAGAGAGTGAGGAGGGGGAAACATAGTGAGCAAGGGGAAGAGAGTGAGCAAGGGGAAAGAGAGTGATTAGGGAAAGAGAGTGAGCAGGGAAAGAGAGTGGGCAGGGAAAGAGAGTGAGCAGGGAAAGAGAGTGAGCAGGTAAAGAGAGTGAGCAGGGAAAGAGAGTGAGCAGGGAAAGAGAGTGAGCAGGGAAAGAGAGTGAGCAGGGAAAGAGAGTGAGCAGGGAAAGAGAGTGAGCAGGGAAAGAGAGTGAGCAGGGAAAGAGAGTGAGCAGGGAAAGAGAGTGAGCAGGGAAAGAGAGTGAGCAGGGAAAGAGAGTGAGCAGGGAAAGAGAGTGAGCAGGGAAAGAGAGTGAGCAGGGAAAGAGAGTGAGCAGGGAAAGAGAGTGAGCAGGGAAAGAGAGTGAGCAGGGAAAGAGAGTGAGCAGGGAAAGAGAGTGAGCAGGGAAAGAGAGTGAGCAGGGAAAGAGAGTGAGCAGGGAAAGAGAGTGAGCAGGGAAAGAGAGTGAGCAGGGAAAGAGAGTGAGCAGGGAAAGAGAGTGAGCAGGGAAAGAGAGTGAGCAGGGAAAGAGAGTGAGCAGGGAAAGAGAGTGAGCAGGGAAAGAGAGTGAGCAGGGAAAGAGAGTGAGCAGGGAAAGAGAGTGAGCAGGGAAGAGAGTGAGCAGGAAAGAGAGTGAGCAGGGAAAGAGAGTGAGCAGGAAGAGAGTGAGCAGGGAAAGAGAGTGAGCAGGGAAAGAGAGTGAGCAGGGAAGAGAGTGAGCAGGAAAGAGAGTGAGCAGGGAAAGAGAGTGAGCAGGGAAAGAGAGTGAGCAGGGAAAGAGAGTGAGCAGGGAAAGAGAGTGAGCAGGGAAAGAGAGTGAGCAGGGGAAAGAGAGTGAGCAGGGAAAGAGAGTGAGCAGGGAAAGAGAGTGAGCAGGGAAGGGAAAGAGAGTGAGCAGGGAAAGAGAGTGAGCAGGAAAGAGAGTGAGCAGGGAAAGAGAGTGAGCAGGGAAAGAGAGTGAGCAGGGAAAGAGAGTGAGCAGGGAAAGAGAGTGAGCAGGGAAAGAGAGTGAGCAGGGAAAGAGAGTGAGCAGGGAAAGAGAGTGAGCAGGGAAAGAGAGTGAGCAGGGAAAGAGAGTGAGCAGGGAAAGAGAGTGAGCAGGGAAAGAGAGTGAGCAGGGAAAGAGAGTGAGCAGGGAAAGAGAGTGAGCAGGGAAAGAGAGTGAGCAGGGAAAGAGAGTGAGCAGGGAAAGAGAGTGAGCAGGGAAAGAGAGTGAGCAGGGAAAGAGAGTGAGCAGGGAAAGAGAGTGAGCAGGGAAAGAGAGTGAGCAGGGAAAGAGAGTGAGCAGGGAAAGAGAGTGAGCAGGGAAAGAGAGTGAGCAGGGAAAGAGAGTGAGCAGGGAAAGAGAGTGAGCAGGGAAAGAGAGTGAGCAGGGAAAGAGAGTGAGCAGGGAAAGAGAGTGAGCAGGGAAAGAGAGTGAGCAGGGAAAGAGAGTGAGCAGGGAAAGAGAGTGAGCAGGGAAAGAGAGTGAGCAGGGAAAGAGAGTGAGCAGGGAAAGAGAGTGAGCAGGGAAAGAGAGTGAGCAGGGAAAGAGAGTGAGCAGGGAAAGAGAGTGAGCAGGGAAAGAGAGTGAGCAGGGAAAGAGAGTGAGCAGGGAAAGAGAGTGAGCAGGGAAAGAGAGTGAGCAGGGAAAGAGAGTGAGCAGGGAAAGAGAGTGAGCAGGGAAAGAGAGTGAGCAGGGAAGAGAGTGAGCAGGGAAAGAGAGTGAGCAGGGAAAGAGAGTGAGCAGGGAAAGAGAGTGAGCAGGGAAAGAGAGTGAGCAGGGAAAGAGAGTGAGCAGGGAAAGAGAGTGAGCAGGGAAAGAGAGTGAGCAGGGAAAGAGAGTGAGCAGGGAAAGAGAGTGAGCAGGGAAAGAGAGTGAGCAGGGAAAGAGAGTGAGCAGGGAAAGAGAGTGAGCAGGGAAAGAGAGTGAGCAGGGAAAGAGAGTGAGCAGGGAAAGAGAGTGAGCAGGGAAAGAGAGTGAGCAGGGAAAGAGAGTGAGCAGGGAAAGAGAGTGAGCAGGGAAAGAGAGTGAGCAGGGAAAGAGAGTGAGCAGGGAAAGAGAGGAGGAAGAGAGTGAGCAGGGAAAGAGAGTGAGCAGGGAAAGAGAGTGAGCAGGGAAAGAGAGTGAGCAGGGAAAGAGAGTGAGCAGGGAAAGAGAGTGAGCAGGGAAAGAGAGTGAGCAGGGAAAGAGAGTGAGCAGGAAAGAGAGTGAGCAGGGAAAGAGAGTGAGCAGGGAAAGAGAGTGAGCAGGGAAAGAGAGTGAGCAGGGAAAGAGAGTGAGCAGGGAAAGAGAGTGAGCAGGGAAAGAGAGTGAGCAGGGAAAGAGAGTGAGCAGGGAAAGAGAGTGAGCAGGGAAAGAGAGTGAGCAGGGAAAGAGAGTGAGCAGGGAAAGAGAGTGAGCAGGGAAAGAGAGTGAGCAGGGAAAGAGAGTGAGCAGGGAAAGAGAGTGAGCAGGGAAAGAGAGTGAGCAGGGAAAGAGAGCGAGCAGGGAAAGAGAGTGAGCAGGGAAAGAGAGTGAGCAGGGAAAGAGAGTGAGCAGGGAAAGAGAGTGAGCAGGGAAAGAGAGTGAGCAGGGAAAGAGAGCGAGCAGGGAAAGAGAGTGAGCAGGGAAAGAGAGTGAGCAGGGAAAGAGAGTGAGCAGGGAAAGAGAGTGAGCAGGGAAAGAGAGTGAGCAGGGAAAGAGAGTGAGCAGGGAAAGAGAGTGAGCAGGGAAAGAGAGTGAGCAGGGAAAGAGAGTGAGCAGGGAAAGAGAGTAAGCAGGGAAAGAGAGTGAGCAGGGAAAGAGAGTGAGCAGGGAAAGAGAGTGAGCAGGGAAAGAGAGTGAGCAGGGAAAGAGAGTGAGCAGGGAAAAAGAGTGAGCAGGGAAAGAGAGTGAGCAGGGAAAGAGAGTGAGCAGGGAAAGAGAGTGAGCACGGAAAGAGAGTGAGCAGGGAAAGAGAGTGAGCAGGGAAAGAGAGTGAGCAGGGAAAGAGAGTGAGCATGGAAAGAGAGTGAGCAGGGAAAGAGAGTGAGCAGGGAAAGAGAGTGAGCAGGGAAAGAGAGTGAGCAGGGAAAGAGAGTGAGCAGGGAAAGAGAGTGAGCAGGGAAAGAGAGTGAGCAGGGAAAGAGAGTGAGCAGGGAAGGAGAGTGAGCAGGGAAAGAGAGTGAGCAGGGAAAGAGAGCGAGCAGGGAAAGAGAGTGAGCAGGGAAAGAGAGTGAGCAGGGAAAGGGAGTGAGCAGGGAAAGAGAGTGAGCAGGGAAAGAGAGTGAGCATGGAAAGAGAGTGGGCAAGAAGAAAGAGAGTGAGGATGGGGAAAAAGAGTGCGCAGGGGAAACAGGGTGAGGATGCTAAGTGTGAGGGGGCAGGGAGGGCCTTCAATGGCAGGGAATGGAGAGAGGACAGACATCGGATAGAGGGCAGAGAAGGGAGATAGGACGGCGATGGGAGTGGTGGAACAGAGAGCGAGGGGGAACCAGCGGGTAGGGAAAGGGGAATGGTGCGTATAGGAGTGCGGGACAGGGCGTAGGGGGAAGGGGAAAGCCGCCAATAAGGAATCTGGAAAACCAGCGCGTACGGAATGTAGGAAGCAGCGCCGAGGGAAGCAGCGCGAGGGGAAGCAGGGAAGCAGCGCGAGGGGAAGCGGGGAAACTGTGCGAGGGACGCGGAGAGCAGCGCGAGGGGAAGCGGGAATGCAGCGCGAGGGACGCGGAGAAGCAGCGCGAGGGGAAGCGGGGAAGCAGCGCGAGGGAGATGTTGTGTGAGGGTCGCGGAGAAGCAGCGCGAGTGGAAGTGGGGAAGCAGCGCGAGGGGAGGGAGGGTAGAACGAGGGAAGGGAACTGGGAGGGATAGACGGATGTAACGCCAGTCGCTCTGCGTAAAAGACGAGAGCGCGTCACTGTTGGCTACTATTAGCCCTTAGTCTACTCTACGCGCACCACTTAAGTCACACTAAGTGATCTCCGCCGGGCCTCGTCCTCGGGTCCACGGTTCTCCAAGTGAATACGCACTAGAGTAGTCCCACACTTAAATGCGCAGCGTCTTGTTATAAATTATCACGTCTCAAGAAATACTCTTCACGTCAATACAATGAAAGAGGAACCAATTCTCATAAAAGATGATGATGAAAAAAGGTTAATGACAAACAAGAACAAGCAAAGATATATACTAACCCACCGAAATCAAAAGCTAACAGCCCACCAAAATGATAGCTCGAAACATACTCCGAATGGCCAACTATCTCCACACGAAACTTGTGGAAACATGCTCACCCATGCATATTCCTGTATGCCATACTTGCTCGCGAACGCTCATGGACGCTCGTGGTCGCTCGTGGCGACAGCTCATGACAGATCATGAAAGCACCTGAAGAATTCGCGCAGTTACGTGACGAAATTGCGAAATCGTCGAAATTTCTCTTGCACCTGTCGCACCAGCTTCGAATGTAAATCGCGGACTTCGTGAAACACCCTGGCAAATATTCTCCTCGGTTAATGCAGACAAAATGCTCGAGGGTCCCACGAAATCCAACCTGGACCCACGATTTCTCGGCTTTTTCCCTCGTGCCACCTGCACACCCCACTTGCGCGTGTGGCAAACCATCTGCAGCCTCAGACCTCGCGTGTGCACATGCTGGCACACTCCAACCACTTGGCGCCACTCCCATGATTGCGCCAGAATCAGTACAGTGCTTGGCACTCCTTCAATAACTTGACCAGGGGCGAAATTCCTCGAACTCCCATGAACAAACACACATGATCGCTCATGACCGCTCATGATCACTCATGATCGCTCATGAACACACATCTCCGCTCATGAACGTACACGAACAGACGCGAAGCTCCATGACCACTCATGAACATTCGGAACTTCATGAAACACCACGAACACTCTGAAAAACTCGAAACTTCTCACATGCACATACGAAACACACGCGAACAGTCATGAAAACTCATGAATGCAACCTCACACTAAAATGCACATAACTCACGAACCAATGACCCGATTCACGAACCGTAAATACCGAAATGTGACGCACAAAAACGTGCATCTCACAGAACTCAAATTACCTTCTCTCCAGATTTTACTATCAGTCGTGTGTGGTTGTTACGAACCACTCCAACAGTCACTTGGGTAATTTCACTGGGCTGCAGGATCGCGAGTCGTCACGGTTGAACGGAGCAGATGCTTGAACGTGTTTGCACGTGGTCGCGTCGGTTTTCTCTTCTTTTCATGGCGGTCGCGCCTGACGGTTCTAGTGGCGTTTATGGTGCTTATTATCTGCGATCGACGAAAACGACAATTTTCAAGGCGCGTGCTTAGTCCGCCAGATACGAACGGGGCGTGCACCGTCGCAACGAAATGCGCGCCTACCTAAGTTGCATTGCTATGTCTCGGGCGTAAAACGCAACCTGTGCGGGCGAGATAAACTCTGGGCGGGTGCGATAAAATCGATGGGCGGGCGCGGGAGCGACGTTATGCCGTCGGCTAATCGTCAACACCACCAACGCTCAGATGATGGCGGTGCGATGTGGTTGTGGTTGCTATGCTGTTCTGTGCTTGCAATATGAGTGTCGAGGTAGGAGAGTCACAGGTATTGAGTCACACGCATCATGGTTCACAAACTGCCTGGTTGTGACTCAAATTCCCAACTCCCATTTGGCCCATCGCAATTGACGACGGTGGAGAGACACCCCGCGCAAGTCCGCCAACACTGAAGTGTGTTTCGCGTCGGACTCCCAAGACAAACATGGTAACCACGACTAGGCAAGTGATAAACCTTTGCTTCCACCCCCCCCAAAGTGCACCCTTGATTTAAAGCCCGAGGTCAGCATAGTTTTTGAGAAAAATACTGAATGGCTTTAACGGTTTTGGCGAAAGACAAAAAAACCAAGCGAGAACAAAATCAGCTAACGAGGAGAACTAATATTCGTCACTCAACTGTGCGACATCTGTCCCCAAGAATATGGTAAGGAAGAGAAGCCACGTGCGACTGAAAATGAAATGTGGTGGGCGAAATTGTGAGAGGAACAATCTCGAAAGAGGTACCCCCTGGCGATGCAGGGCAACAACACTAGAGCCCGTAGCTGGTCACACCAAAGTCATCCCCGCTAGCTATTCTTATGTCTGATAAAGCAATAATCCACGACAAGTAAGCGCTCTAGGGAATCATCCCGAAAGCGCATCGTTTTAGGAAATACGAAAGGTTTAGGGAACTTCAAAAGCGCCTTCACAGACTAGTCATTGTGGGAGCGCACCTTTCAGTGCGTCAGATAGTCGCGCCTCCCCTCTCTTTATCGAGCTTCTCCTCCCCTCGTCGTGCCTCCCCGCGTCGCGCCTCCCCTCGCACCGTCACGCCACCCGTCGTTTCGTGGGGCATCCCCTCGTGCCTCGCTTCCCGTCGTGGCGCCGCGCCTCGCCGCACTTCCACTCCCCTCGTCGCGCCTCCCCTCCCCTCGTCGCGCCTCCCCTCCCCTCGCCGCGCCTCCGCTCCTTACGTCGCCTCCCCTCGTCGCGTAGTACGCAAATTGTTCTCCCATCCGCCCGTAGCTCTCCCTTCCGCCCGTCAGCGCGCCCAAGTCGCGAGCTTCTCCGTCCGCCCGTCGCTCGCCAATCCGCACGTAGCTCTCCCTTCCGCCCTGCGCTGTACCTTCTGCTCGTCGCCCTCGCCTTCCCTCCCGTCTCCCTTCCCATCTCGCACACTTCTCACCCTCTCATCTCTCCCCCCACTCACTCCCTTCCTTCCACCCAACAATCCCCTTCGATCCCCCCACTTATACACCCCCCTGCACTGCTTACCTCTCTCCCTATTCCCACCATTCTCTGCCCAGCTCCCCACCATCCTCCCTGTCCCCTGTCTCCCACTCCCCCTTCTCCCAGTCCCCCTTCCCCCAGTCCCCTTTCTCTCTGTCCCCCTTCTCCCAGTCCCCCTTCTCCCTGTCCCCCGTCTCTTTGTCCCCCGTCTCCCACTCCCCCTTCTCTCTGTCCCCCTTCTCCCTGCCCCCTTTCTCCCAGCCCAACTTCTCCCTGTCTTCCTGCTCCCTGTCCCCTTTCTCTCCCTGTCCCCTTTCTCTCCCTGTCCCCTTTCTCTCCCTGTTTCCTTTCTCTCCCTGTCCCCTTTCTCCCTGTCCCCTTTCTCCCTGTCCCCTTTCCATCCTGCCATTTAGTCTCGCACAGTTGGGACACATTGCATGAGTGTTTTTTTTTTACAACCATGGCGAAAGCACTTCCCATTGTTGTATGCATGTATACTTCCGCCACTCATTCCCCACTCCACTCCCTCTCCCACCCACCTGGCCGCTCCCCTGCTCTTCCGCGCACAGGTATGGTGGATCGCGCACAGGGTGGATAGTGGTCGGTGGAGTAAGACGTGGACAAGCACAGGGTGAAGGCAAGATGTGGCCGTGGCAAAAAATGGAGATGGGCAGAGACAGCAGGATGCCGCAGCACGTAGATGCGGTAGGGGGCAAAAGTCTAGCAGGAGTGCTGGCCTCATCTGGCTGTAGTATTGGTTGTGCTTTGCTGTGGCTGAAGGTGTCTAGGAATGTGGGAGATGTCGCCCTAGGTACCTGTAGCTGATGCCAGGGCTATCTGGCTGTAGGGATCGACTTGGGATGTATTGTGACTGAACTACGGGGGTTGCTGCTAATGGTTCAGAATACGGCATGCAAAAGGAGGTCTACTGAGTAGCAATCCTGAGGTGCCGCAAGCATTCGTCCACTCTTGAAGTTCAAGCGACTACTAAGAAACACTGGTGTGTTGATATGTTCTCTACTAGTCACATGCAACAAAGTCCTCCAAGGCCAAACATAGAATCCAACAAGTGGATTGGTAGTGGAGGGTCAACTAGATGTTGCCAATAAATGGGTTATACTTGCCTAAAGCTACATGTGAGTTTCGTGCGAAGCATATCTTAAGGCGGATGAGTCGTAAAAATGGAAGGTTGGGCAGCTGAGAGGAGTGATGAGGAGTGGCGGCGCAGCCCAGCCATGCCCCACCTCGCATGCCTTGACGTGCGCTGATCAACATTACTGCCAGCCTGCCTTCCCCTCCTGCATCACGCTCCGCGGCATCCTGTGTCAAACTATAATCATGCTTGTGATGTGTAGGCTGTAGTAGGGTAGCCCATAAGGGGTACAACCCAAATTAGGGTTAGCATATGTACGCACATCTTACGTTCAATGCATCATTCCTGCTGCTAGATTTTAACATGGTTTCAGAGAACTAGGTCCGTAGGACCGTTTTTTTTTTTTTCCGGGCCCACCTACCGTTGCGGTTACCACGCTACCCCACGTGTTGTCCTGCGCCTGCCTGCCTGCCTGCCTCGCCTTGTGACGTGCTGCGCTGCGCGCGCCGTCCTGCAGCCCTCGCGCTGCCCACTGCTGCCCTAGGCCAGCGCGCCGTCCCTGCAGGCCCGTAAGACCCGCGCGCTGCCCCTGCAGACTCGTCAGGCCCGTACGCCGCCCCTGCAAGCCCGTCAGGCCCGCTAGCCGTCCCTGCAGGCCCGTCAGGCCCGCGAGCCGCCCCTGCAGGCCCGTCAGGCCAGAGCGCCGCCCCTGCAGGCCCGTCAGGCCTGCTAGCCGCCCCTGCAGGCCCGTCAGGCCCGCTAGCCGCCCCTGCAGGCCCGTCATGCCCGCTAGCCGCCCCTGCAGGCCCGTCAGGCCCGCTAGCAGCCCCTGCAGGCCCGTCAGGCCAGCGAGAAGCCGCTGCAGGCCCGTCAGGACAGGTCGCCGCCCCGCGCGACGCGCCCGCTGCCCGCGCGTCGCGCTGCAGCCCCGCGCGTCGCGTCCGCTGCCCGCGCGTCACGCTGCGGCCCTGCCCGTCGAGCCCGCTGCCCGCGAGTCGCGCTGCAGCCCCGCGCGTCGCGTTCGCTGCCCGCGCGTCGCGCTGCAGCCCCGCGCGCCGCGTTTAGGGTTTAGCGCGTCGCGCTGCAGCCCCGCGCACCGTGCCCGCAGCTCGCGCAGCGCGCTGCAGCCTCGCGCGCCGCGGCTGCCCATGGACGCCGCCCCTGCCTGACTGCCACCGTCGCTCCTGCAGCAGCTGTTACGGAGCGCCCTACTACAGTCGCGGCCCTGCCCTGCAGCAGCTGCCGCGGAGCCTCCTGCCGCCGTCGCGGCCCTGCCCTGCAGCAGCTGTCGCGGAGCCTTCTGCCGCGGTCGCGGCCCCACCCTGCAGCAGCTGCCGTGGAGCCTTCTACCGCCGTTGCGGCCCCGCCCTGCAGCTGTCACGGCCCCGCCCTGCAGTATCTGTCGCGGACCTGCCCTACCGCCGACGCGGCCCTACTCTGCGGCCGCTATTGCGGCCCCGCCGAGCGCCGGCCCTGCCTGCCACTGGTGAGCACCTACCTTGTTCGCGCGCTGCCGCCTGCCTGCCTGCCTGCCTGCCTGCCTCCTGCCTGCCTGCCTGCCGGCCTGCCTGCCTGCCTGCCTGCCGCGCCTGCCCTGCACGCGCTGCTGCTGCTACTACTGCTATTGCTACTGCTACTGACACTGCTGCTACTGACAGTGGCCAGATGCAGCTCCAGCGACGTCCGCATGAGTCCCTCACGCCCCAGCAGCTTAGTGAGTGGTACGCTAGTTGGGGTTGTAGGGGTGGCCGCGCTGCTACTGCTGCTACTGCTACTACTGCTGTTACTGCTGCTACTACTACTACTGCTGCTACTGGCTGTGGCCAGATGCAGCTCCAGCGACGTCTGCGCGAGTCTCGCACGCCCCAGCAGCTTCGTGAGTGGTACGCTCAGAGTAGAGGGTCTCTGAGTACCGTTCGCTGCCCGTACGTCATTCGCACTGGTGCTCGGACTGGTCAGGCTTGCGGGACGCTCAGTCACACACAGTCCCGCTGCTTCGCCCGTCTGAGCGACGCCTGGCGTACCGAGTTTGGCGACGAGGCTGAGCTCCCCGAATGGGTGGAGCTGCTTGGGCAGAGGGTAGATATATTTGCTCTTGACTATGATGCTATTCTCACTGCCATGTATGCATTGCCTACTAGTGCTGACCGTGCCTGTTACCTGTGCGTACCGCCTGACCCAGGTATAGAGCCTGCTGCTCTAGGTGCTGGTGAGGCTGCTGCTATAGGGGCTAGTGTGTCTCCTGCTCTAGGTACTAGTGAGGCTGCTGCTCCAGGTGCTGGTGAGTCTGCTCTCTCTGGTACTGCGCCTGCTCAGGCCTTGTACACCTTCACACTTGACTCTGGTGCTTCTCGCTCCTTCTTTCGCGACAGCACCACCCTCAGGCTGCTCAGTCGGCCGGTTCCAGTCTCCCTGGCAGACCCCTCTGGGGGTCCAGTCCGTGCGACCTCCTCCACTGTCCTCCCTTGTCCTGCTGTCCCGTCCGGCACACTGTCGGGTCTTTATCTCCCCTCGTTCTCTACGAACTTGGTGGTGGGTTCTGCGCTCCAGGACGCGGGTGTTCACCAGTTCACCCCTGCCTACGAGCGTGTGACACACTGCACGTGTGCTCAGACGGGTCGTCACCTGGCTACCTTCACTCGGCAGCCGGGGTCGGGCCTGTACACACAAACCACTGAGTCCCATCAGGTAGCTGCGTCTGCGTCTTCGTCTGCGTCTGCGTCAGGTCAGTTGTCGGCCCCCTGCTCGTGTCGCGCCTTGTCGCACCAGACCCTCCTTTGGCACCACCGCCTTGGTCACCTCTCGGTGCAGCGCCTTCGCAGCATGCACCGCCGTGTCCTTGTCTCTGGTCTTCCCAGGGTTCTCCCTCCCCTCCCACCCTCGCCTGCTCCTCCCTAACTTCCCTGTGTCGAGAGGCGGCAGCGCGCCGCTCCTCACTCCTCCTCATTCCCTCCCACAGAGGCTTCCCTGCAGACTCTCCACCTGGACGTGTGGGGCCCAGCCCACGTCCGTGGACAGGGCCACGAGCGGTACTTCCTGCTGGTCGTCGACGACTACCCGCGTTACACCACAGTTTTCCCCTTGCGCACCAAGGGTGAGGTCCCTGATGTTTTGATCCCTTGGATCCGCGCTACTCGTCTCCAGCTCCGTGAGCGGTTCGGGACGGAGTTTCCCGTCCTGCGTCTGCACTCTGACAGAGGTGGTGAGTTTTCCTCAGACCTCTTGGCAGCCTTCTGTGAGGAGCACGGCATCACCCAGTCGTTCACGCTTCCGGCCTCTCCGCAGCAGAATGGGGTTGCTGAGCGCCGCATTGGCTTAGTTATGGAGGTCGCTCGTACCTCCATGATCCATGCGGCTGCCCCCCATTTTCTGTGGCCGTTTGCGGTCCGGTACGCCGCGCATCAGCTCAACCTCTGGCCCCGTGTATCCTTACCGGAGACCTCGCCCACACTGCTGTGGACGGGGAAGGTTGGCGATGCGTCGCGTTTCCGGGTCTGGGGTGCTTGTGCCTTTGTCCACGATAACACCGCGGACAAGCTCTCCGCCCGCGCTATTCCCTGTGTCTTCCTTGGCTTTGTCCCTGACGTGCCTGGTTGGCAGTTTTACCACCCCACCTCGCGCCGTGTCTTCCCCTCTCAGGACGTCACGTTCGACGAGTCGGTTCCCTTTTACCGTCTCTTCCCCTACCGCACTGCCCCTCTCCCCCCCCCGCCGCTCTTCCTCGCTCCAGATGCTCCCCAGGTAGACCCCCTCCCCACTCCCGGTCCTGCTCCTTCAGGTGTGTCTCAGGTAGACCCTCCTCTCTTGCTTGCGCCGGTTGAGGTCACTGGTGACTCAGGTCCTGCTGAGGGTGGTCCTGCTCGGGGTGCTGCTACTGGGGGTGCTGAGCCTTGGGGTGCGGAGCCTGTGGGTGCTGAGCCTGGGGGTGCGGAGCCTGGGGGTGCTGAGCCTGGGGGTGCGGAGCCTGGAGGTGCGGAGCATGGGGATGCGGAGACTTGGGGTGCTGAGTCTGGGCGTGAGGAGTCTGGGGGTCCTGAGCCTGGGGGTACTGAGTCTGGGGGTGCTGCACCTGGGAGCGCTGAGGCGTCTGGTGAGCAGTCTCCCTGGGGCGGCCGTCTCCGTAGTCGCTCCGCTGGTACCTCGCCGCTGCACTCTCGTCGTCGACTCCCTCTCTCCCCACAGCAGCTGCGTGAGTGGTACGTTGGCCGTCAGGGTCGCGCTGCTGGAGCTAGGGGCCCTGCTGCGAGAGGCGCTGGAGCCGGTGACTCTGCTACTGGAGTTGTTTCTGCTGGAGGTTCTGGAGCTGCTGAGGGTGCTGGAGCTGGAGGTTCTGGAGCTGCT